TGAGCTTTTGGGGGACATTTCATTCCTAAACCATAATAGGAACTGTTCCTGAATCCAGGTGCTATTAGACAGAACAATCCTCAGGGTACGGTGACTTGGGATGTTATGGACACCTGTAATTCTGCCACTTCTCAGTCCTCAGGAGCCTGTGATCCCTATCTCCTCTACCTTTGGGAACCTGCCCTGTGCAAGCTCCATAAAGTTCTGCCAATAAAAGTCCCAGGACCCCATGTTCTTGTAGGGTTTTCTATAGTGCTGAAGGATAGGGATGCTTGCAGCTCTATGCAACTTTAGCCCCACCTCTGTCCCATTCACAGAAAACCAGTCTCCCTGCCAGAGAGGAAAGGAGGCCTCCAGGAAGGCCAAAGTTGAGGAGAAAGACCCCCCAATGTCAGCGTGTCCGTGTTAGGGTCCCTGGCCTCACATAGCTACTGACACAGTATTGTTCCTTTTAGGGATTTATTTATTTATTGTGGTGCTGGGGATTGAACCTAGGGCTTCACTAGGTAAGCCTAGGGCTTGCTAGGTAAGTGCTCTACCACTGACATTCCTGGTCCCTTGGGTTTCAATTTTTTTTTTTTTTAATAAATCAGTTTGGGTTGGTTTCTTTCACTTGCAGCTATAGAAGTAGAGATTATCTCACAGCTCCTTGAGGTGAGCAAGAGGCCTTCATTGCCAAAGTGACTGGGTGCCAATGTGGCTCAGACTCATTGACTGGGAGAAGCTGAGGCTCAGGTCACAGGTACAAGAAAATCTGTGCCTCCACCCTCCAGGTTGATGCTCCAGGTCTAAGGGCCAGCCTGGTCTGGGAAGAGGCTGCCACCAGCACTCTCCTTTCCCTCCAGGCAGGCCTCCTCCTGAACTGAGCTGAGAGCCTCTCACCAGAGCCATCCCACTCTGGGAGGAGGTGAGGTGACAGCTGTGTGTCCTGAGCCTCGTCCCCAGATCAGGTGTCTGTGGGAGGGTGGGTGAGGGTGACTGAAAGTTGGCATGCTCTCCCTAATCAGGAGAGTCTTGTCCTCAAGACAGAGCAAGGCAACTCCATCCTCACCCTGGACCCCTGACTCAGCACTGCCACTGCCAGCCTTCCCTTGAGGAGTCATCTCAACTGGGGATCCTCTCATGGCCCCCCAAGTTCCCCAGAGCAATAACTGCCCTGGGTCCCCATTCACCATCCCTGTGAGCAGACACCTCACCTTGCTCTTCTGTCCACATGCTCTGCCCATTTCTACCCCAAGCCTTTGCTCATCCTGCTTTGTGCCCTGCCTGGAATCCTTGGTCTCTACTTATCCAGATTCCAGGTCCCTTCAAGGACTGGCAAGAGGGCACCACCACTCCTGCTGGGACCTGAGACTGTGGTGAGCACACTACCCAGAGGATCGGTGCCTCCACCCTTCACCTCCAAGCACTTCCTATCACGGGTCCTTTCCACTAGGTCAGTTTTCCCCAGAAGTTTATTTTGGGTTTTGTAGACTGAGAAAACTTCCCAAACATTTTGAACTGACCGAATTCACGTAAAAAAATACTTACATTGAAACAAAACTGCTGTATTATTTCACAAGAACTCATTATAAATAACACTGAAAAAGTAGGACAGGTGATTTCAGTTAAATACATTTATCTTTAGCAAAATAAAGTATATTAACCCTATATTTTTCATCTTGCCATAGACCATTTGTTATGCTTTGCATGTGAGGTGAGACATGTGTGAGACAATGTAAGAAAGGTTAGAGGTGAATGATTGGCTCATGACAGCCTTAATTCGATCAGCAAATCGACTGCCCGATGGGATTAGCTGGGTGGGGCTGAAGGCAGGTAGGATGTGGCTGGAGGAGGAGGGTCCTTGAGGACACACATTTGAAATATACATTTTGTATCTGGAGAGTGGAGTCTCGCTCTCTGCTTTCTGATCATCATGTGAGCTGCTTCCTTCCCCTACACTCTTCTGCCATGATGTTCAGCCTCACCTTGAGCCCTGGAGCCTGCTGTCTCTGGATTGAGACCTCTGAAACTGTAAGCCCCCAAATAAACTCTTCCTCCCCTAAAAAAGTTCTTGTCCAGGAGCTGGGGATATAGCTCAGTTGGTAGAGTGCTTGCCTTGTATACCTAAGGCCCTGGGTTCAATCCCCAGCACCACAAAAAAGAAAGAAAGAAAGAAAAAAAAAAGCTTAAATCCTCAGGCTGGGGTTAGACTCAGTGGTAAAGTGCTTGCTTAGCATGCATGAGGCACTGGGTTCGATCCTCAGCACCACATAAAAATAAATAAAGATATTGTGTCCATCTACAACTAAAAAAATGTTTAAAAAAAGATACAAAATAAAGATATTGTGTCCCCCCCAAACTAAAAAATATTTTTTTAAGAAAAGTTCTTGTCCAGTCTTTTAGTCCCAGCAGCAAACTAAATACCACCGCCTAAACACCACTGATAACATTGTCATGTAAGGTACTGCTTATGCCCCCAGAAAGATGTAGGAAAGCAGAAGAGAGATGCTAGAGGACATCGGAGGAGGGAAGTGAGGGGCAGGGAAGGAGAAGGGGTCGAATGTTGGTGGAGGCTGAGTCAACTGTGGAGTGGTCCTCAGCCCTTGGATGTCATGACTAAGATCTGAGCGATTTCCCCTGTGCAGGAACAGAGGTACAGCAAGACAGGGACGGTAATTATAGCAAGAGAAAGAGAGATACACCTCAGAGAGAGGGGCAAGAAAATCAGCCAGGGGGACAAAATGCTTAGGCTCTACGGCGGCGTTAGGCAGGGGTAGGAGCTTCCAGTGGCAGGTGGCCACACTTCTTCAGGCCTGGAGTTTGAACAGCTGCTGCCTGTTTGGGGAAGTCAGATTCCTCCACAGCCTGAAAACTGAGGGTGTGTGCCTGCATGCTTGGGTCACTTTGTCCTCTCTTGCCTAGTGCCACTCTTGGAAGGTCATATAACAGTAAACTGACCCTCAGAGAAGCTTGTGGGAGTGTGTGAACATAATACGGGCTCATAAATCTATGGGAGAGCATGCTGGGCCTCCCGTGACTGGCGGTGTCATTTGATGGCTCCGAGTAGTGTGTCCACCTTCCTAAGATGGGCAGAGCCCCACCCACACACGGGAGGGGGGATTCATGCTCCTATGGTGATGGCTGTGAGTCCTCTGGGACAGTTGCTGGTCAAAGGCCCTTTCACAGCTGCCACCTCCCTTGTTTTCCTCTTCTCCCATTCCTGCTCACCCCTAGCTACCTACCTAACACAAAGATCATCAGCTCGGTGCTCCCCTGCTTGGAACTGACCCCTATCTTCCTTTTGGAAGTCCAAGGGGGCCAATTTTGGGCCTTGGACAAAGAGCAGAACTGTGGTCACATTCATAGGTTAGGTGGTCTGGGATCCCCTGGCCCTGGAGACCCTGGTGATCTAGTTCCCACCCCCCCACCAGACCCTGTACAGACCTCCTCCCAGGGACCTGTGACCAGTGCTGATGGGATTCTGGAGACAGGACACTGGTTCAGGAGAATGAATACAGGACTTGAATTGTGAGTCTGGAGTCTAGGCCTGGCCCTGCTACTGACTGGCTGAGTCACCTGTGGTAGTCCCTTCCCTTTCCTCTCTGGACCTCAGTTCCTCCCCATAAGATGAAGGCTCTGAACCAGTAATTTCTAAGGAAAAGTTCAGCTCTCTGGCTTAGAGAGAGAGAGAGAGAGAGAGAGAGAGAGAGAGAGACCTTTGCTGAACTTCCCAGGGTCCCTGGTTCCCACAGCAAGAACTCTAACTGCCAATCCCGCCACACAGCTGCTGGCTCACACTCACATCTGTCACTTTCTAAGCAGCCAATGATTTCCCCAACTCCCTGGCTTGGGCCAGGGAAAGGGGCAAAACAATTCAGAGAATGATGAACCCCAGGGTTCCTCTCCAGTTCACAGGGGAGCAGGGAGACAGGCTGGGCTGCTTAGACAGGAAACTAGCCAAGAAGGGGACAGGGCACTTACCTAGAGAGTTTAGACCATGACCTCAGGAAGCAGGGACTACAGTAATGATAGCACTCCCTTTACTGGGACAAATGCTTAGGCTTCTGACCGCCCATGGCAGTAAAGAACAGTGGTAGGAGCTTGGATTCAGCAGCTAGAATGCTCTGGATTTACGTCTGACTACTGTTTAATCACGTTACTTGGGCAAAATACCCTGTGTCTTCAGGTTTCTCATCTGTGGAATGGAGATAAGAGTTACACAGCAGAAACAGTGATACACAATAAATATTCTAAGATTCCCTTGAATTTCCTAGCCTCCCTGGCAGAAGTCTGGGGTCACTTCTGTCCAATGGTCCACGAGTGGACAAGGTAGATGTCACACCTGGCCGCAGAGATAGTAATGTGTCTAGGTGCTTCCTCCATACAGCAATCTCTCTCTCTCTCTCTCTCTCTCTCTCTCTCTCTCTCTCTCTCTCTCTCTCTCTCTCTCTCTAGAGATTTGCCCCAGGCACTTTACCACAGAGCTATATCCCCAGCCTTTTCGGGGTTTTGCTTTTATTTAGAGACAGGGTCTCACTAAGTTGCTGAGGCTGGCTTTTGAACTTGTGATCCTCCTGCCTCAGCCTCCCAAGTTGCTGGGATGACAGGTGTGCTCCCATCTCCTTTAGTGACCTTCGGTCAGTCCTCCAGGTGTCCTGGCTACAGGGTGGGAGAAGGGTCTACTGCCCCCAAACAGACTTTATACAAGTGGTATATAAATCATTGTTGTGCCAAGTCATTGTGTAATATATTTTTTTTAATAAAGTTTTATTTTGCCATTTAAAGTCTTGTTTGGGTGCAGTGCGACAGAGGCCCTACTCTGCAGTCCCGCCTGTCCAGGGCTGGCTCCTTCTCCCCTCCATGCCTTCCACCGGCTTCTAGCAGCCAGACAGGACTGAGAGGAGAGGCCAGCGTGGCCTCCGGTGGGACAGCCTGTGACCATTACCGCCCCGCCCCCTCGGCTACCGCGCGCACCCGGCGCCGGTCACGCGGTGGCTTGATCCCCGGGTCCCGGGGTCCCGCCCACTCCGCCGCCACCGGGCCATGGCCGCCGCCGTCGCGCTCCTGGTGGCCCTTCTGCTTTGTTGCTGGGGCAGGTTCCACGGGCATAAAAAGGTGAGCCCAGCGAGCGTCCCCAACCTGCCGCTGTGACGTGGGGAAGTGGGGTCAGTGGGCCCGATGACCAGCGTCCCCGAGGCCCCTCGGGCTGTCTCAGCCCTGGTCTCACTTCCCCTCCCCAACGAGCCCCAGTCGAACCCTCCCTACCTGGCTTCTCCCTCTCTCCGATGCTTAGTGGCCCTTCTAGGCACAGTGGCTTTTCCCCCTGCCGCCTCCTCCTCTCCCCTGTGCCTCCCCCTACTAAAATGTCATCTGGGAGTGTCCGTCCCTCCCCAGCACACAGCGCCTTTGGGAGCCACGGAAATGTGGGGGAGGGGTCAGGGAAGGAGAGGAGGGAAACTCCCACCCCCCCTCAATCTCCCCCCCCCCTGAGTTCTGCAGGGGAGCTGGTGCCTTGGGGCGTGAGACCTGGGGGTGACCACCTCAACGCTTCTCCTCATGCATCCCTGGGTTCTTTGACAGTGTGGGGGACTCTCCCTGATTCTTCCACATAGCCAAAGAGCTAGTGCCTAAGGGAGTGTCCCCAGCCTGGCAGACCTCCTGCCTGTCCCCACAGATCAGCGGGGACAGGTGTTCTCATCATTCTGAATGCTTCAGTGACTGCTGCCTGATGGATTTAACCGCTGGAGGAGCCTTCTGTGCTCCCAAGGCCAGAAAAGCCATGGCGTGCCTGCCCCAGGTGAGGCTCTGGGTTGAGGCAGCTCCTTTTGGCAAGTAGGGAAAGGGATGGACCCTCTTCTTGGAGCACCCTTCTTTCTTCTCCACTTGACACACTCCCACTCATCCTGCAAAACAAGGTTCTGAGAAGCTGTCCCTTTTCCGAGCACCCATGCCCTGGACTCATATCCTGGGCACAGCAGGCATCTCCCTGATTTGCCCTGGCTTCAATGGTGAGAGCACATAAGGGCAAAGATTGTGTCATTCTTCTTAGGAGCCATAACTCTGAGCTTAGTGCCTTTCCATAGTAGATGCTCAATAAACATTTGTTGGATGAATGAATATCTCTGCCCTAGCATCTCTGAAGCAAGGTGGGCAGGAAAAGTCCTCCCCTGACCTATCCCCATCTTCCTGCCACAGTGACCTAGTTTCTAGAGACATGCAGGTTGCTACAGGGGCTGGACTTCAGCTTTAGAGTTGAACCCAAATTTAAATCGTAACTTTTCCAGTCTTGTTTTTGTGACCTCAAACAGGTTACCTCTGCTTTCTGAGGCCCAGTGTCTTCTTTTCCGGAATCCCTGAGTTCTTTGATAATTCTGGGACCTCTTCCCAATCCTCACCATAGCCAAAGAGCTAGTGACTAAAGTCCCTTCCCCATGCGGTTGTTGGGAAGAGTCCTGGCTAGAGCAGTGCGTATTCAAGCATGGTTGTTATTTGCTAGTGGAAACGTAGGCAGCAGAGTGCCTTGTTCCTGGTCATCTGGCCCCAGGCCCAAACCTCTCTAGGGAGGATGGGCCTGGCCTCCATGAAGCCATCTGGGAAGCTACCAGAGCTGACCAGGCCTCTACTGTGGCCTGACCTTAGAGCTGAAGGGGCCAGAGGGTCTTTTTATTAGGGTCACCTGATAGATTTTATGTCCCTTAATTCTTACAATGACCCTATCAGATGGGCTGCTCTTATTTTCCCCACTTGACAGATGAAGAAACTGAGCCACAGGGGCTCCTTAACTTGTCTCGGGTGGCACAGACATCAGCTGTGCCATCTCAGTCCTGCCATCTCAGTCCTGCCCCCAGGCCCTCTCAGTCCTGCCCTTGTGCCCTTGCTCCTGAGAGTTTAAGCACCTTCCTTCCTGCATCCCAGCGACTGCAGCTCTCCTACCTGCTCCCCACAGACCAAGGGAGCCATGAACATCATCTGCCCCTGCAAAAGGGGCTTGAGTTGCTCATCCAAGGATGTGATGTGTCCCCGCCGGTGCCACTTGATTTAGAGGAGGATACAGGCTGGTCAATTTCTTGGGGCCAGAGGCCCTGGCCACCCCCAACTTGCTCCAAATCCAGCTCCTGAGACATTAAAGTCACTTTCTGGCTCTGGCCTCTGTCTGCACTTTTTGGGGGAGGGCCCCTATGGGGACAGTCCCAGTCTGGGGGAGGCAAAAGGAGACTCTGTGGCTATGAAAGAACATTTACTGGGGCTCGGGGACAGGGAGACTGGGATGGGAGAGGGACTGCATCCAGTAAACGACAAACTCTTGGGATGAAGAGCTTAATGGGGGGCAGGTTGAAGGATGTGCCTAGAGAGCATATCCTGGGGTACCTCTGGATGGAGGTGTGTGGGGAGGGATGGAGAGGGAGTGCCTACATATTCTGTAGAGAGTAGCAACAGGGTGGAGGTCATTGAGAAAATGCCTGTGAGAAATACAAATGCAAAACTGTGCATGCCTGGGAGGCTGAGGAGCCTGGTGCATTGATGTCTCCATGCTGTCAGATATTATCAGTTCCATGGTGTGGAGAAAGAAATTGAGACTGGGGGGGTGGCTATATGAATTGCTTGAGGTCACATCATTAGGATGTCAAGGTGGATTTTTTTCTGCTGCAAGTATGTCATTTGAAAAACCAACCCAAATTAGTTCTGATGATGAGGGTTTATTGGTGGTCAGAAATGGAAGTCCCATGTTAATGTAGGCCTCAGGTCAGGCTGAATCCAGCAGCTCCATCCCCAGTAGCCTAGCAATGGCAGAAGTTCCAGGTTTCACCTTACTATGTTCCCAACCACTGTACCTCTTTTTTTTTTTTTTTGGTATAGGGGATTGAACCCAGAGGAACTTAAGCACTGAGCCACTTCCCTAGCCCTTTTTAATATTTTATTTATAGACAGGCTGTTGCTAAATTGCTTAGAACCTCGCCAAGTTGCTGAGGCTGGCTGTGAACTTGGTGATCTTCCTGCTTCAGCCTCCTGAGCCACTGGGATTACGGGTGTGCACCACTGCACCCTTGCCTGCTGTACTTTGTTAACTATATTAACTCATCTTATTGTCACAACAAGGTTATATGTAGTAAATACTATAATTATCTCTATTTTATAGATAGGGTATTGAGTCTCCCAAAGTAAAGGGTAGAGCTGGGTCCTGAACCCAGACAGTCTTGCTCTAGAGACCAGGCTCCTAACCCCATTTCCACCTCATACATCCATACCATGCCTTTCAGAGAAAGAAAACATCTGTTTCCCAATTCTTTGCAACTGTCCTAAGATTGATCCTGATTATACTGACTTAGTCCATTGGCATCTCTTAATCCAATCAAGTCGACAATTCAAGTTAATCATTACAATTAGGGAGTAAGTTTCCAACACACTTTGGGGGTTCCATTCAAAGGCTAGCACCACCCTCATTTGATATAATTGTAGAGTAGCACAAAGATCCTTTGCCTCACAAAGAAATGAGGACTTGCTTTTTCTCCTGTTATTGTATCTTTTTTTAATATCTATTTTTTAATTATAATTGGACACAATATCTTTATCTCACTTACTTTTTTATTTATTATGTGGTGCTGAGGATCGAACTCAGGGCCTTGCATGTGCGAGGTGAGCGCTCTACCGCTGAGCCATAAACCCAACTCCTATTGTATCTTTTTTTTTTTTTTAAATTGTAGTTCTTTTTTTTTGTGTGTGTGTGTGTGGTGCTGGGGATTAAACCCAGGGTCTTTTTTTTTTTTTAAAGAGAGAGAGAGAGAATTTTTAATATTTATTTATTTTTTTTAGTTTTGGGTGGACACAACATCTTTGTATGTGGTGCTGAGGATCGAACCCGGGCTGCACGCATGCCAGGCGAGCGCGCTACTGCTTGAGCCACATCCCCAGCCCCAAACCCAGGGTCTTATACATATAAGGCAAGTACTCTACCAACTGAGCTATATCCCCAGCCCTGTAGTCTATTTTTTAATATGTACATATTTTATTTTATTTATTTTTTTAAAGAGAGAGAGACAGAGAGAGAGGGAGAGAGAGAAAGAATTTTTAATATTTATTTTTCTTAGTTTTCGGCCGACACAACATTTTCATTTGTATGTGGTGCTAAGGATCGAATCCGGGCCGCATGCATGCCAGGCGAGCGCAATACCGCTTGAGCCACATCCCTAGCCCAATATATACATATTTTAGATAGTAGAATGAAACAGACGTTAGTACTTTATGTATGTATGTGACTGTATGATCAATGTGATTCTACAATGTGTATACTTAGAAAAATGAGAAATTATATCCCATCTATGTATGATATATCAAAGTACATAAGTGCATTCTACTGTCATGCATAACTAATTAAAACAAAAAAAATTTTTTAAGTATATATTTTTAGTTGTTGATGGACCTTTATTTCAATTATTTATTTTTATGTGTTGCTGAGAGTCAAACCCAGTGCCTCACATGTGCTAGGCACGTGCTCTGCCACTGAGCTACCACTCCCGCCTGCTGTTATATCTTGATCATTTTCCCCATGGTATCAGAGTCTTTTCAAAAACATTAATTACTGCCTTAAATTTTTTTATCCAGATTGACTACATTTTACTTCACTATTTCCCTGTGGATAGACATGAAGATCATTTCCAAACCCAAATCTGTGTGTTTCAGGATACAAATTTATAGCTGCAGAAACAAACACACACTCAAATGAGGGCTGAAGTGAGTTCAAGGACTGTCTGGAGGAGGCTCTGCAGAGTCAGCGTGGCTCTTCTTCCACCTCCTTCCATTGTCATGCTTGGCCCCCTGCTGCACCCCCCCCCACACACACATGATGATATAGATGCTCCTTGAGGTATGTTGAGGTCACATCCCAATAAACCCATTGTACATAGAAAATCTCATAAGTTGAAAATTCACTTATTACACTTAACCTAGAGAACATTCTAGCTTATTCTACTTTAAATGTGCTCAGAATACTGGTACTGACCTACAGTTCTGCACAAAATCATCTCCTTTTTTTCCTTTTGTTTTTGTGGTACTGAGTGTAAAATATGGAAAACGACAAACCCCAGAATAGTGTGGCCTGTCTGTTCCTGTTCTCAAGATAACCTCTTCCAGTGACAGGACATTCCCTGGGAAGGTGATACCCATCAAGCCTAGAGTGGCAATTTCTTGGAGGAAGCCAAAGCATTGATCCTTCTCCAGATAGATCTTTATCAGGGGACAGTACAATGGGACCCTGAAAGGAAAGAGATATACACCGAATACTGACCCCCAGACCCCCTGTTCTTTCTCAAGTAAAAACATTGCCCAGTCAAAACAAATTTCAAATTCTCACCTGTTTCCTGAGTGTCCAAACTGACACACTCTTTCAATAATTAAGTCACCTCTCAGTGTAACGTGTATAAGCACAGATTCCTCCTTTGGCCAGTTGCTCATTTTCCAGCAAGAAAGTGTGTCCACCAGATGCATGACTCCACCGCTGAATAAAGGCTTGCTGATCCGTGTAGTCTGCACCCAGCTCAGTCATTTTGTGCTAACCCTGAGGATTGAACCCTGGGCCTAGGCAAGCACTCTACCACTGAGCTATATCTGTGCAAGTTGTCGGTACCAAAATGGAGTAACTTATGTCAAACTCTAACAAAATGGGGCTGGGGGGCCATGAAGGCCTCACACAGGTATGCCTGTAATAGGAACTGCCATGAAAGTCTTTCCGAAGACAGAAATTTCTAGTTAAGCCTCTTTTAGCAAAAGATAGTACCACCAATGAACAAAAGCCACCTTCTG